CTCAGATGAGGGAGTAGCATGCCTGGGGGAAAGCATTCGCTTCATTCCACAGCCAGCTCCAGTTGTATGTGTTCGCCTGTCAAAAAGACGCTGCAGGAGTTTGGAAGGCTGGACTGCAAGTTCAAAATCTCTGAGGAGCTGGGATTGTGGCTCAGTGGCAGAGCCCTTGCCTCAAAAGTATGAGGCATTGGGTTTGATCCTCAGCACCACATCAAAATAAATAAATTAATTAAATAAATGTATTGTGTCCATCCACAGCTTTAAAAAAATAAATAATAAAAAATGGTTTAAAAACAAAAACCTGTCTCAGCACTTTAGCAAGGCCCTAAACAACTTAGCCCTGTCTCAAAATCAAAAATAAAAAGGTTGGGATGTGGCTCAGTGGTTAAGTGTCCCTGGATTCAATCCCTGGTTACCCCCCAACACACACACACATACACACACAAAAAAAAAAAACCCTGCAGGAAGATGAACTCACTTCTGCGCCACCTTCTCATTATGGTGGTCACCAGTATGTACTTGGGGTTTAGAATTGCCAAGATCAGTGGAAGAAAACCTCAGGGACCAACTGTGTTCTTAGGTATTCTGGAAGCTAAATAAGGATGTATCTACTTGGTGACATCTTCATTAGTCTGAGAAGGTTTTGATGTTGTATAATATAACCTGTTTGGTCTCAGTCCCAGCTGGTCAGTTTCCTTGATGATAAATTTAGTATCTTATTAACCATAACTTGGAAAAGGACTTCCCAAAAGCATAAACCAGCTTTACTTCTCACATAAGTATGAGCTAACTACATGGGTCCTGGGACAGAGAACTGGAAACTATGTGGAAATTGTAACATCTGACACCAAGTTTTTTTAAATTTGATATCAGAAAGGTTGCATGCTCTGAGCAAGGTAGTGCACACATGTAATCCCGGCTACTCAGGAAACCATGGCAGGAGGATTGCAAGATCCAGGCCAGCCTGGGCAGCCTTGAGGTACCCTGTTCCAAAAAACTGATCTGGAAAATGCACGTCCCACTTGAGCCATCTGTAAATCTGACAAATCCATCAACACCAGTTTAGCCACACGAGCCCATAGAAAAGGGTTTCTTTTAGTCTGAGTCCCTTCTTTAGACTTTTAGAGATTTTTGTTGTGCATGGTGCCTCTTCATTAGGAATGCTGTTCGTGAACACAAGTGAGTTCTGTTGACACTGCAATTTTTTTTCTTTCCTGGATGTTCAGTGGGAGACAGAGTGTAATAAATACAAAGGGATGCAAACCGCAAATGTGTGGGGGATTCGTGTTGGCATAACAGAGACTTGGGCAAACAGATGCACAAGGAAGTGGAGTGTGGGCATGTGGTGACACGCCTCTCGGGCCCGCAGGATGACTGACCACAGTGCCTCACTGTAACGCAGATCCCTCCTGTATTCCCACAGTAGCAGCAGCGACACCCATCTGCTCTGTGGCCGAAACTTCAAATGTCGGCTTGCCGATGAATGGGTCTGGATTAGATGTTTCCTCCAATTCCACCCCAGGAAAGCCTGATTATTCTTCATTTGCATACAGTGCAATAAGAATGGCTTTCCCTAAGCAGGTGACATTGGAGGGATAGCAAAGGGGAAACGCTGCTAATAGAAACCACTAGTGATGGTTGGATTAACACAAAGCACATGCTACGTTACTGAATCCTGGAGCAGCCACGGGCGGTGAGCAAGCCATCAGGAAGCCCTTCACCCCTGTCCCCCTAGAGAAATGTAGGTCATTTCTCCTTCTGGGAGGATGCAGCTCGCAGGTTTTGGAGTTCCTAACGCCTGGGATTTTGTATTGTGTGGCTGGCCTGTTTAGTCCTCCCGTTGTTCATTCATCCACCACTTTTTATGAATCTCGTTGTGCCCGGCACTGGAGGAGATTCATTCGAGGGGTCCTTTCTTGCAGGGGGTTTTATATATATAGCTTGAAGGAGTAGATGAGCAGGTAAATAAAGATCATCCCAAATAAAGGTCAAAAACTCCAAACCAGTGGTCTCCCAGCCAGTTTTATTCAGCTGATCATTTTAAGTTTTTGAATTATTTTAGAAATAAGACTCGACTTGAAAGCCCAGCTTTGTGGGTTCATGTGGCAAATCAGAAGGTCTGGCAACATAGTCCTCATTGCCCCTTCTGGACTGTTGGGCTGGCTGGAGCCGAGTGTGTGGCCCCTTTGCAAGGGACACTGGTTCTTTAGTCTGCCAGCCTCTGCCCTCACAGCTCTTTGACACCTGGCCCCTGTGGGTGGTTACATTCAACTCCCCTGGCTGCGGTGGTGATAAGGGAAACCATGTGCTCCAGGATGTTAACTTTAGCCAGAGTGTGGTGGGAAGGAGCGGGAGTCAGGGAGGGCTTCCTGGAGGAGTGGCTGTTTGGGTTCTGACTTTTGCAGAACAAAGAAAAAGGACAAATGTTTAGTCAGGCAGCTGTGAGCAATGACCTGGAAGCGCTCAGTCCTGGCACATTGAATATCACCAGGGGCCAAACTCCTCTAGACGCCCTTCCTGTATGCAAAGCAAAGGCTACTTCCACAAGAATGATCGGGATCTTTTCCAGGGGATTCTGTGCGTACACAGGCACAGGGTTTTCAGTTCTAGTTGTCCAGTGTCATCTTGTGCTGGGAGAATAAGAATGGAAAGGTAGGTCTTCGTAAAACTGTTTTCATGTTGAGAAAGATCAGACTTTCTAAGAATAACTTTTGGTGGCTTTATGTGATCACGTCTATCTTTTCAGCATAAGACCTCATTCAATGACCCATGGGTGTACTGGGCATCTCCCCTTCCAACTCCCTGCCCCACTTTTAAAATCAGTGGCTGCCTGTGCAACCCCTCTCTTCCTGGAACTTGAACTTGTGGCCATATTTCAAGACCTTTTTTCTTTTTTTTTTTTTTTAAATCATTAGGAATAATTTTTTACCATTCAGCTCTTAAAAGCCTGATAATGTGTCAAGCCAGTAAGGAGAACTAGAGCACGGTTTATGATGCCAGAAGATGGCTTGTTCAGAGGGTTTGGGTTTGTGATGACACTGGTGTTAAACTGTCTTGCTCTGAGATGCTAACCGGAATGGGGGAGGGGAGCCTTGGAGGTCCCCAGCTGTTCCAGGAGGTGGCTCCTTTTTTTTTTTTTGCCTCCATACAAATATGCACAGAGATTGTGGCAGCTAATGCCACATATCCCAGGCAACTTTTTGCTCAATAACTGTTTCCCAAATGGCTACTCGGGGGCCTTTCAGAATTCAAGAGAGCTGTCAGTTGTTATAGTAACCGGCCCCCTGCTGTCGAGTTGGCCCTGAGATGCCAGTGGAAGTTCTTGGAACAGGCTAACACATAGTCATTAGACAAAAGCAGGGCAGGAGACACAGCTGAAGGCTGCTGTTTAAACATAGCTCCATGATACTTAAAAGACTGGACCCACTCTTAGGGAAGATGGATAACATCCTTGAAGCAAGCTCACTTTTCAGCAAAGGGAAACTCCCTGGATGTTGTGTGGTGAGCAGCCACCTCTTTGAATTTCTCAGAATCCCATGCCTTCTCTCCCAGGGTTGATGGTTCGCATTTGCTCAGGTAGCCCCCGTGATCATTAGCTATTGATGGTGTGGCATTTGCTTCTCCGCGAAGTGTTGTCAGTTTGCAGGTGGTGGTTTGAAGCGCCTGTGATTGTATGTGAGGAAAAGCTGCGGAGATAGCCGGCTCCGCTCCAAAACTCCCGAAAGAGTGAATCTGGCAGAATTCAGAGTAGGGCTAAGGGTTGAGAAAAAGTCTAAATATTTGAGGAAGCTGCAAATTTCAAGTTTTTATGAAAATTTGTAAAAACATTCCAACACACTCGTGATTTCTTCAGATTAATGTTCGGAGCCACACGGCATATCCGTGACGTTTAGGGGGACAGTGGTGTAGTTCCAGAATGTTCTCAACAGAGGGAGACAAGAAGTTCTGAGTTACAGCAGTCCCTCCCACTTTGTAGTCATACTCCCAAGTTTTGGCTTCTCCAAATTCTGGTGCCTGTGCCATGTGCTTTTACCCCATGCACAATTAATAATTATCAAAGAAAGGAAAACATTTATGAAGGGAGAAAAAACCTAATATGGAATAACTGGAGGCTGTTCATTCCTCGAAGTGAAAAGCTGCTAAACAGCAAGAAGTGACTCAATATTGCATCTACCTACCTGATGCAAGATTCAGCAGAGCATCCATTATAGCTGATGAACTTGGAGAAAGAATAGGAATCATTGTAATATGAAATCCTATAACCCAGGTGGTTTGGGGTATCAAGTATAATTGAACAGACACTTTCAGGTATTCTGTGGAATATGTACATCTTTCAAAGTCTGTAGCTCAATGTCATATGCTATGGTTATTTAAATTTTAAAGGGAAACTAAATATAGGATTTTATATATAGTAATATCTTGCCAATTGCTGTCCCCATCTCCCTGAGATGCGTCCCTTATGTATTCTACAATCTGTATTGTGAATCTGGAAGGTGGCCAGAGACCACAGGAACGCATGGGGAAAAGATGAAACCCCAGACCACTGGTCTAATGGTATGAAATTGAGAGGGAACCGTAGCAGGAAGGAGGCCCAAATGGTCCCCAGGAGATTCCTGCAAGGTTCTGTTCATTCCCATGGAATTCTGAGCCATCCTGTTAGCCAGGGCAGCTGCCAAAGGTGGAAGAGGAGGTCTCTGAACGACATGGTCATGATGGTACTATCCTTGCCTCTGTTAATACCAGAATAATGCTGCCTACTGATAAATAAGATGCTATTAGAGCAAAGTTTGCATTTCACATTTCTGTCTCAGCATCAGAGATCTTCCTCAAACACACCATCTTTGTTTGTGAGCTTCCTCCTTTGGTGGGGGGAATCCCAAGGAGGCCTGAAAATGGGGATCTTGGTGTAAGAGGGAAGGGGAGGGCCTGTGTGGGGCTCATGGTGGCTGACTGGAAATACTGTCTTCTACACCTGTTCTCTTTTGTTTTTGTCTATTTAGAGGGTGTAACAAAATAAAGTCCAAGGGCTTTCCCAGACGTTTCCATGAAGTGCCTTCTTCTGGGGAGAGAGGAGAGAAGGGGAGCAGGTGAGGGGCGGTCAAGCTTAATGGGGGTCTTGATGGCTGGGACTGGCTTGTGGAATTTTTGTTTTGTTGCCTTGGGGATTCAAGTCTTCTAGCTGAAACTCCCCTGTTGTATTCCAACCCTTGAAAATAAGCCTTGTAAATATGAGCTCAGCCTGCCGGTAGCTGGTAGCAGTAGAGTAATGCGTGTGCTTGCTTCACTTTGTTTGGCAGTGGGGGGGGGTGTCTCTAGACTGGTATATCCTGGGGTACCCTGTGTTTGTGTGTCTGTGTGTGCTGCATCCATTTTCTTTCCAATTTTTCAGATGTTTGCATGTTTTAGAGCTATTTTTAATTTTTAAAAATGCATGTATTTAGCTGTATAAGAGAGAAATATCTTTTTGAAACCTGAATTTATTCATAATTAAGGAATGAAGAGTAGGAAGGGGGGAGAGAGGGAAGCAAATGTGTGTGCTTTTTCATAAGAAGGGTGAACACTTTTTTATAAGCAAAAGTGCATGTGTTCTAGACAGTTTGAATACTTTGAAAATTCGTTGTCCTGGAGAGACTTACAACAAATGTTAAGAAGTCATGAATTCATAATCTTACTCACCACACTTGAGCCTCTTGATAATATTTATGTAAGGCTTATCTTAGGCAAACTGTATACTATTAATATGATAATCTTTTAATATTGATAAGTAGGCTAATTCACTAGTATTATGTCATGAGTAGTATCTTTACTTTCAATTTATAAGACTTACATTTGGAATTTTACATGGATGATTTGTGTCCACTGGTAGTAAATAAATCAGAATATTGAGACAAAATTTCTGTGCATTATAATCAGATATACCTATGATATCTGAGACCATATAATAAAGGAATTGTGACAGATTAATGAGAAAGTCCATGACCTATCTTCTTTCAAACAGTACGGTGCAGTTTTGGCCTTATAGAGAAGGAGTAAATGATTGCTGGCCTGGGTAATGTAACTATTTTATTATGTTTACTTATTTCTAGAACATTTTCAAAACTGGAAGGATAAAAACTTTAATAGGTCCCCCCTCCCTTTTATAGCTTTAGATTCAAAGAGTTCCTTTTTTTGTTGTTGTTGTTGGTACCAGGGTTTGAACCCAGGGACAGTTAACCACTGAGCCATATCCCAGGCCCTTTTTTATATTTTATTGAGAAGGTCTCACTGAGTTGCTTAGGACCTAAATTGCTAAGGCTGGCTTTGAACTCATGATCCTTCTGCCTCGGCCTCCCGAGCCACTGGGATTACAGCCCAGCTGTGCAAAGAGTTCATCTTAAGAAAGGGACTCTTGAACATCACTTGAATGTTTTATACTTGGTCCATTATAAGGTGCCTTTTTTGTTTTTCACTGTAGCATCATAAACAGCATGATTTCATGATCAGCACTAAGATACATGCACATTCAATCTCGAGGTCTCTCCAGAAATGATGCTGTAGCCTGCAAGACCATCTCACTTATGTACCTGGCCCCCAGTGTGGGAGTGCGCTTGTTATAGTCACACTGCAAATTGTAAGAGAGACTTGGGGACAGCTTCTATTATAGGGCACTTGGTCTCCTGAGTGAGAGAAGAACAGGTCAGCTTCAGCTGGGTCCAGGAGCTGGGAACCATCCTGGGAAGCCATGAGTATTTAAAAAAACCCTCTGGCTATGGATCACACCAGTTAGTGCACTTTGCTTTTCAGGGTGGTAGCTACAAAAGGCAGGCTTTGCCTGTGCTTCCACCTAGCTGTTCCACCTCCTGGCTTTATACCACAAAGCCTGTTACAGAGCCTCAATTTCCTCATCTGGAAGATGGGTCTCCTGATAGCTCCTTTTTCTAGGATTGTCATGAATATTAAATGAGGTAGCATATATAAAAGGCTTAGTGTACAGATTACATCACCCTGTTGAGAAGATGAGGAAACAGACTCTGTAAGGCAAGACGACCTGCTTAGGTGGCTGAGCCTGTTCCTCCCTGCTCCATCCTGGGGTTGCTCCTCCATGAGGAAGTGATGAATAGAGATCCAGGGGTCCAAAGTCTCTGTTCTTCCTTTCCTGGCCACTCTGCCATTCTCTATCCCTCCAAAAGCTACAATTCCATGTACCTTCAACCACCAGCCCACGCCCCGCTCTGTCCTGTCCTCCTCTGTCCCATGGTGCTCTGGGTGCTACCTCCTGACCCAGCTCTCCCTTGCTGCCCATCTGTGATAGCCTTCTGGAGGGCGGAAGCCCCACTAAAGCCTGGCTTCTGTGGGAGCTGGAATAGACCAGGGCAGTGCTTTCATCAGACTCTGTGTCCCACCTGTGCCCCCCCTCTCCCTCTCATTTCATCCCCTGGCCTGCATATGTCCAAAATGCAGCCAGGAATGGGAGGAAAAGCCCCCAAAAATGCCTGAAATAGAACCCTCCAAACAGCTGTAAGAGCTATTGGAGCTCCTGCTCTGGAACTTACCTCTCTCCTCCAAGGCACTCAGTAGCCCCTGATGTGTCAGGAGAGGGAACCCTGGGTGCCCATTAAGTCGCAGGGTAGAGAGGATTGCTCAAAGCTTAAGAGGGGAGAGCTGATGACTCTCTCAGAAAGGAGAGGACGAAACTATAAAAATCGAAGCCCAGTGTTCAAGTTTTTAAAAAAAGCCAATTTAAATTTTGAAGAGGTAATATTGACACAGTTCAAAACCAAACAGTTTAATCATATACACTCCTTCTCTCCAGCCCGTCGCCGACCCACACTGTTCCCTACCTGCTCCCAGAGAGGTAGCCACTACTGCTAGTCAGTTAGCTATTCTTCCCAGAATTCTCTTACACAGGAACAAATATAATATCCCTTTTGTCCCCTTTGACACAGTAAAATACTGCATATTCTACCATGCCCCTTACTTTTTTTTTCTACTTTAACATGATTTTCTCTCTACATATATAATTGGCTTATTCTCTCATTCAGAAGCATGGATTTTTTTTTTTTTCGGTATAGATGAGTCATGTTTTTTTGTTTGTTTGGTACCAGGGATTGAACCCAGGGGTGCTTAACCACTGAGCCACATCCCCAGTCCTTTTTTATATTTTATTTAGAGACAAGGCCTTACTGAGTTGCTTAATGGCCTTGCTAAGTTGCTGAGGCCGGCCTCCAACTTGCAATCCTCCTGCCTCTGCCTCCCAAGCTTCTGGGATTACAGGTGTGCGCCACCATGCCCAGCATATTGTTATTTCTTTAAGCAGTCCCCAAGGCTGTATTTGGGGTTGTTTCCATTCTTTTGCTATCACAGACAATATTACAGTGAATAACTTTGTTTAGATCATACTGCCAGTGGATACATGTAAATGCAGGGTGAATTCAGTAGATTGGCAGTATCACAGGGTGGGTACGCTGTAACATGGGTGATGTCATTTTGACCTCCATGGTGGGATACCCATGGATTCCTGTTCCTTTACAGCCTCCCAAACAGTGTGCTGGCCGTTTTTTGCTAACTTCGTCTGTGAAAAAGAGGTGGTATCCTCCTATAATTCTAATGTGCTGCCTTTTAAGGGAGGTTGAACTATTTGTTTTTCTATAAAATTTGCTTATGTCTTTAACTTATTTTTCCTTTGTATTGTTGGTCTCTTTCTAATTAAGAGAGTCTCTGTTAGTAATATGGATTGCAAATATTTTTCCCCAATTAGTAGTTTCTTTTTAACTATGTTGATACTCCTTTGACTTTTATATTTTCGAATGTATCTATATTTTTACTTCCGTTTTCCACATTTTGAGTTAGTTAGAAAGTATCTCCAATTCCAGGGTTGTTGGGGTTTTTTTTTAATATTTTTTACGGGTTCAAGTTTTAATAGTAAATTCTGAAAACACTGGGAATTTAATCTGGTCGATAACACGTGTGATCAACATTCTCCCCCACCCTTGGTAGTCCCAAATATTTCAGGAATACACTAGTAAGAGACTATTTAGTAAAGAGGCACATGGTAACTTAATAATTCTTAAAATAACACTTTTATAGCAAATCAGTCCATCATGATGGTAATGAAATAAGCAGTTGCCAAAAGGCTTTTCCCAGACCATTAAGATTATAAATACTGAAGAATAATGTGCAGTAAATTCATTTTCTACCTCCTCCCCAAAATGAGTTGGGCCATCGCATGAGCGTGACTGTTCCCAAGTCAGTGGGTGTTGTGTCTGTGCCCTTAGCACAGTGGCAGATGGGACAGAGCCTCAGTCCAGATGTTCAGAACGTTCCAGGCTCAGGTCCAAAGGGTGAGGCAGCTGCTCAAAGCCCCAGATGTCAAGCCATCTTTTCTAGGTGACTCCTGGGGGCCTTGGGAAATACCATGCAGGGCTCACTTCTTGAAGCCAGCTGGGGTACAAAACCTGTTAGGGTTCTTGTCAAAATGTGGCTTAAAAAGTGGCCTCTGCTTTCTGATCTACTGAAAAGTGTTGCTTCAACTTCAGTCATTCCTACCTATCTTCAAAGGATTTCTTGGCTAAGCTCATGTTTAAGAAGAGAGTTCATTGTCTTGACCACTTTCATGTCTACTGTGTTAATCTTCTCCCACCTTCATAAAGACATTAATGACAGGCAGCCTGAATCACCCAAAACAATTCTCACTGCGGAAACCAGATTTTTGTCACTTCCACCTAAGCAGGAGTTGCCTGGCACACCTCTCTACCCAAGTGAAATCCAAAATATCTGGAAACATTTTTCTCCTCATTTAATATCTGCATCCCCAACCACACCACCATCCATCTGTCTGAGGATGTCATTCTTTTTTCTCTCCCTTTCTGGCTTTCCTCCCCTCCTCCTATCTGAGAAGCCCTACTTACCCAAACTGTGACAACCATGTGCCCCAGGATTTCCAGGAAAGCCCTGATGTGAAGCACTCTGTTGTTAGATTATCCCCAGAAGCACAGTCCCGTTTGTCAATCTCAAGTCCCCTTTTATGGTTTGGAAAATCTGCCAAACAGAAGTGCGTTTTGATTTCTGAATTTGTCTTTTTGGAAGATCCCTTCCTGAGGAGACACCA